CCAGGGATCCAGGGGCAGCCACAGCTTCTCTGRGCAACCTATGTCAGAGCCTCCCCACMCTCMCAGGGAASAATCCCTTCCCAATATCCCATCCATCCCTGCCCTCTGGCACTGGGAAGCCATTCCCTGTGTCCTGTCCCTCCAGCCCTTGGCCCCAGTCCCTCTCCAGCTCTCCTGGAGCATGTTCAGGCACAGGAAGGGGCTCTAAGGTCTCCCTGAATCATTCTCTTCTCCATGTGAACACCCCCAGCTCTCTCAGCCTGGCTCCAGAGCAGAGGAGCTCCAGCCCTCAGAGCACTCCACGGCCTCCTCTGGACTCATTCCTACAGCTCCATGTCCTGTGCTGGGACCCCAGGGCTGGAGGCAGTTCTGCAGGTGGGGTCTCAGAATCTCCCCCTTCCCCTGCTGCCCAAACTGGGGGATGAGCTCAGGGCATGGGAACAGGGGGTTCTGGGTGCCAGCACTCATGTGCGGGGTACTGTTGAGCTTCTCATCAGGCAACACACCCAAGTCCTTCTCCTAAAGGCTGCTCTCCATGCATTCTCCACCCAGCCTGTATATGTGCATGGGACTGCCCCAAAATATCACCCATCAGGTACAGTATCAGTGTTTTCATTCTGTTCAATTGTTCAAAACCAGTTCTGTGCCACTGGTGACTGATGGTCACCCTGACTGTATACTTGTATAGGTTCTTTTATTTCTGAATAGTTACTTTCTGGCTTTAAGAAGTTCTTGTTCTTGGTCTCTGTTTTCCACCATTTATTTCTGCATTTTATCTTATTTTACTGTCCTGGTCTTCATATTATACCAAAAGGACTGGATAATACTCTGGTCTTTATGCTGATCATATTTAGATCACTAACAAGTACTGTGGTCACTTTTGTCAAGGTAATTAATAAAAATCCTCCTACACTAACAAAGTCGGCCCACAGACTATTCCACTGCCATTAGCTCCTCAAAGTCAATTCCTTACAAATGCATGGCTCTTGTATGAATCCTCTACTGCTTCCTAAAATGATAATTTCCTGTGTGTCCTGGGACAAACAGTCTTGAAGAGAGATGGTCCATCTGACAGTCAGTCTTTGGCAGACCCAGCACCTCTGCCTTCCTGCCTTGAATGATTAGTCCCTTCCCTACATGGCTGAGCAGCTGCACATGAGACACTTGGATTTTCCTACAGCAGATGCATGCATGGATTTGTTGGCCTTATAGAAGATATCAACTGCTTACAATGATTAGCAATTAAATATTTACAAGGGATACCACAGAAGGAAAATAAGTTCCAACAAGGTTTTTAAAAGATTAAAAGACCTACAAGTAAGGAAATCTTTGCTCTGTACTAGAAACAGAAAATTGTTTCCTTGCTTTCTTCACCTCATGATCCACAGGCCAGACCATGTCTCTGTAACAAAGATAAACCATTTCAGAGAAGAAGGACAAGACCATTAACMCTTTGGAATGTGCCAAGTAAGAGAACTGAAGTTTCAAAAATCACGTTCTCTTCCACAGGGCAGATTCAATGCTGACATGCCAACAGGGTTAGAATATCTACACGCATCTGAAACTCAGCAGCCTGACTGAAATAAGTCATTACAAGAAATTCTGAGCTGTTGCTATTAAGGACATAGACARGACAGCCTTAATTCTATTGTGTTAGTTTAAAACTAGGTCAATTATTTGGATTTCTAAACGTGGACTCAGAAACCTAAATTTAATCACTTCCTAAAAATCTTGGCCTCTGTGACTACTGCACACACCTTCATGTCCAACTTCAAGGACAGGGTGGAACTTGCAGAATTCTGGAGCTCATCCTCTCCAGAAATTTGTGTAAAAGCATTGCCAGGAATAGTCAGTTCTTTACCAAAGTAACTGAAAAGAAACAATTCCTGCCTTCAAAACAAACTATTTCAAATGCATGTCCATCCCAGGACAAACCTGAGATCCCCACTACTGGTGTGTCAAGACAGAGTAAAGAAAGAGTCACAATTCCAAATGCAAGTTACACTAGGTCAAAAGGACAAGTAGGCAGTACCCATCAAACATCTGATGGTCACTTCACAACTACACACCAGATAATCTGCACCTCAGAGAAATCACTTTTACACCCTAACGTCTGCTCAGAAGGTTTGCAAAAGTTTTAATCAAACTAGGATATGTAATTGTTATCTAAAGACATTTTTTGATCTCATGGCATGGCTAAATTTTAATCTACAGGAAATATTAGCACMATCTTTATTCCAACTGTAAATGCATAGCCCAAATCTTTGCTAACGTGTACAGAGGAATTACAGTACATGCATAAACACATTCTGGCATCAGCAAGTCCTATTCTGATGGCAACCCTTGTTTTTCATCAGTTTTAAGCAAGTTTAGCTGCTGGAAACACAAGGAAAGAAAGAATAAATATTTTATGGATTATGAACAAGTAACCTGTAACAGCACAAAAACTGAATTAGAGCCACAACTTAAAATTGATTAAAACTGGGAATTTCAGTGCAGAAGTCTTTTCTGTAAACACGGTACTCAAATACTATCCAAGTTATGGAAGAACAGGTACAATGATAGAGGCAAACCTCAAAAGCATGAACAACAACTTAAAGGCAAGGAAAAAAGTCACTTATTTTGATTACATCTAAGATGYATTTCTCATATGATCGGTGTTTGCAGCCCCCAGGCAGCATTCCTTAGAGGCAGGAATATAAATAGGTAAAGAAACACTGTGATTTTGATTTTAATAGAGGTCGATAAGACCAAAAATAGTTCACTACAGAAGAAGCTGCTCCTGACTGTGAAGACTCTCTGCAACTCCATGCTTTTGGTCACCCAAAGCTCTTGGAATGAAGCCCTACAAAGCTGCCTGTACAGGAGATTTTTTGATGCCTGTGTAAGACCAAGCTTCCTGCAGGATACTTTCACCCCCTATTAAGTCAGAGCTTTGAATAACATCACTACTGGTCCAAGTGTGCTACTGCAAACCACTTCCACTCTGGAGAATCCTGCCTGGGAAAGGCCCTTCACTGATTCCACACCATACCTGTGCACTCTTTGGTTGGCTCTGAAAGGAACAMATACTTTAAAACCATGAGCTGGAATCTGCAGTTCAGTAGATGTCAGCAGAAGGCATCCAGTGCTTTAACATGAAATACATTCTACTTGTTTTGCAGAACAGAAAAATAACAAAAAATTAATAAATCCTGGTAGGAGAACTCCTTGCTTGTAAGGGATGAGGCCACGTTTATCACCAGCCAGCATCACMCAACACTTCCCATTTTAGGTTTACTATTCAGCACAACACAAACACTGTGACTGAAACCTCTCTAGACTGGCTACCTGCTAGTYCACTTTTTTCAATTTTACTCTTATGAAACTACAGCTTTTGGGTTTTGAAAGAAGCATTAAGGAAAAAAAAATCTTTCACTGGTATTAGCTGCCATGTCTGCATGTGCCAACTGGACAAGATCAAACTGTATCAGGCACTCCTTTACTTCACAGGTACAAACACACAAATTGCCCAGACTTGGTCCTTAAAATCATTATGACGTACAGACATGTAACAGAGTCTGAGAGAAAATAAAAAATTTTCTTACAATATATAAGGAGAGAGTCCAGACAGGAACTCTGCTGCAGCCAAGAACAATTTTGGAATATTATTGTAAAAGTACATTCAGGTTGCAATAAGTGAATTGCAAAAAAATCTTCAAAATGTGAGAACAGAACAAGATGTGGCACCCAAACATACTCTCCTTACTCCTGGATTTGGATCCTCTCCCAAACCCCACCTCACTTCTCACTCAGCACAACAGACTGTGCTTCAGAACCAAACCAGGGCAGGAACATTGGGAAACTCTGCCTGTCAAACCCTGCCCTGCTGCAGCTAAAGACAGAACAGGTACCTGAAGAGGCCCTCACACTCACAGGTGTTACAGTTCTCCACTCCAGATCCGATTTCTTTAGGAATTGTTCTGCAATAGCATGTGAGCCACTGAGACTGAGCATTTCAAAAGCTGTACTTCCCCAGCTGTTTCATCCACAGCTTTCAAAAGCACAAGTCATTCCTATTTRCCATTGAATATAATGCATATTGTGGTCACTGTTGTATAAAAACACTAGAAAAAAAAAAATACACTTCAAGTTGAATATCCACAATAATTTTTCACTTTATCTAGTCTATTGTGTTATCATCTTATGGAACACCATCCTGTCTCATGTAGATGTTTATTACTGTGTATGTTCATCACCAATAAGACCCTAAAACACATGAAGAATTCTTTTCCATGAGAAGGTTAAATGGTTTTACCAACTAAAGCAGGCACTTATAAACCAGGTCAAAACTAAAACGCATTCATGCTCTGAGCTCCAWCACAAAGCACAGAGAGGTACAACACAGCTGAGTGTGCAGGGACAGCCTGGGCTCTGCAGGGCTGGACCACACAACTGCTCCAGTTCTCCCGTGTAATGGTGTGCGATTTAAAACACAACTGTACTCATACCAACGCTCTGGCACCCAAAGAAGACAGCAGAGCCAAGATCTCGACAGTGATGCATCAGAACACCCAGAACAAACGAACAAGAGCCTGATCCAAGGCTCTACTCCCGGCAGGAGGGCGGGCCAGGACATTTTGAGGGATCCCTTCCGATGCGGGCTTTCCCACGACTCTGACCCAGCCAAATGCGTGGTCGCGATGCTTCTTCTCCAACACTTCTCTTAGCCCTGACTTCTTAACTCAAGATAATAAAAACCCCAGGCTACATTCAAGCTCACAGATTACCCGTACCGGACACATCCCTTTTGCAGGATATTTAATTCCTACCACATCACGCATTCTGTCTGAGCTCTTGGGAAAAGCCCCGGCACCACGGGGAGGGCCCATGGCCCCCTCGATGGCAGCACCCGCAGAGCCGCGCCCGGGCCCGGACCCCGTCGGCTCTGCCAGCCCTACACGGCCCCCGGGAGCGCAGCCCCGCGCCCCTCATCCCCCTCATCCCCCGCGGCCGCTCACCAGCTCGGGCACTCGAACAGGGACCCGCCRCCCGCCGGGGCCGCGCTCGCCGCCATCTTGGCTCTGCCCCATTCAGACGGCGCGGGGCACCATGGGAGGCGGGATCGGCGCGCGGCGATCCCAGCGTGCCCCGCGCAGCGCCGGCGGGGCGGGGAGTGGGCGGGGCCTATTGGTGCTCCGCCTCCCGCGGGCTCGCCCCGCCCCCGCGCGGGAACAGCGCGGGAACTGCCGGCAGCGGCGGTGCTGTGCCTGAACGGGGGAACAGCGCTGGTACCGCCCCTGGAACCGGGGGACAGCACCCGTACCGCCTCTGGAACCGGGGGACAGCACCCGTACCGCCTCTGGAACCGGGGGACAGCTCCGGTACCGCCCCTGAACACGGGGACAGCGCCCGTACCGCCCCTGGACACGGGGACAGCGCCCGTACCGCCTCTGGAACGCGGGAACAGCGCCCGTATCGCCTCTGGAACGCGGGAACAGCGCCCGTGCCGCCCCTGGAACGGGGGGACAGCGCCGGTACCGTCGCTGGACAGGGGGACAGCGCCCGTATCGCCCCTGCAAACGGGGGGACAGCGCCCGTACCGCCCCTGAACCCGGGAACAGCGCTGGTACGGCCCCTGGAACACGGGGACAGCTCCGGCACCGTCCCTGGACACGAGGACAGCGCCGGTGCCGTCCCTGAAACGCGGGGAGAGCTCCGGTACCGCCCCYGKAACGGAGGGACTGCCACGGTACCACCCCTGGAACGGGGGGAGAGCGAGCTCCGGTACCGCCCCTGGAACGGGGGGACAGCGCCGGTGCCGTCCCTGCAACGCGGGGAGAGAGAGCTCCGGTACCGCCCCCGGAACGGAGGGATTGCCACGGTACCGCCCCTGGAACGGGGGGACAGCGCCGGTGCCGTCCCTGAAACGCGGGCAGAGAGAGCTCCGGTACCGCCCCTGGAATGCGCGGACAGCTCCGGTACCASTCCTGGAACGCGGGGACAGCTCCTATGGCCGAGCAGAGCCCCGGGCAGAGCCGCGGTTCGAGCACACACAGCTGAGCCGGTACGTGCCAAAAGCCGCCTCTCTCCGGTGTCAGCCCCAGGGCTGTTGCTCGGAGCCCGCACCCCGAGCGCTGCCGGCACAGCCAGGCTCGCTCAGTCCCTGCCTTTCACGGCAAGCCAGGCTCCCCAGAGTGCCGCACAGGGCGGTAGAGCAACATCCGAGAGCCAGGCACACCGTGCCAGAWTACTGCAGCAGCAGCCACCGGCAGTTTCTGACGGTGACTTTTCAAGCTCGGGAACATCAATCAAGACTGTTAAAAATAGTGTCTGCAGCAGTTCTACTGCCACGATCAATGATGGGCAGAGAGGAGAAAGAAGTCAAGCAGTTACAGCAATCCTGAGCTCAGCAAACTGTACCTGTGWCCTCCAGAGGACTAAAACAGGCTAGAGGAAGGAGCCCACAAATAATGCTCCCTTTTAGGCTTGGAGAGGAGCTATGTGCTTTTGTTCTTTTCTATGACAGTGTGACACCCGAAGGACTCTGCCTGACAGCAGGCAGGCACAAATCAACAGCTTCTACCATGTCCAAGGAATACTTAAAAAAACAGGAGCAGAACACAGTTCCCTTGCTTTCATGTCAGATTTTATCGTACAGACTCACCAATGGCTCCAAGTTCTAGCAAAAGGCAAACAGTCAGAGCAGACCCAATGCTGCTCTGAGGCATGGGATTAATTTTTCTGGGCTCAGCTATGGCACAGTACTCTGCACAGGAGTATTGTGTATGTCCTTGTGCAAGGAATTTCGTATTTTCAGATAGTTTCATTCCAAAAAATCAGGAATCACAGAATTAAAGCCACAGAAAACACTGCTTTGCTGATGTAGTCTTCTCCTCTGCTTAGAGAGGGAACTGCAAACACACCTGTGCCAATGTCTAAACTGCAAGAGAAWGGAGCTATGACAGAGGCTTTTAAAAGTGTTTATTGATGATTATTAGATGGAATGATGGCGCAGTAGTGCAAACCACTGTGCAATTGGGAGAACACTCCCTTCCCAGCTTTCACATTTACTTTATTATAGAGGAGACATGGAATAAGGATTAAATACAAAATGGGTCAGTATGCTGCATTTACCACCCCCCTTGGGCTTTGGACAGATTACTGTTCCCTCAGTGCACGTCAGTTCAGAGCTACATCGAAGTGGGGAGTGGCTGCTGTGTCCTGCCCAATCCTATGAGCKAGAACCAGCAATCTTTTTCATTTGCACACACATCATCAGTCTGAAAAWCCCAGCACTTCACTCAGCCAGTTTCTGCACTTTGTGTTTCATAAAGAATTGAAAATACCGAACGTTCACAATCCACACATTTACTAGTRCACTACAAGTGAGCTTCAAGAGCACTTCTTCAGAAGCAAGATTTCTGCTAACACTCTTCACTAATCTTGCTACCTTGTAAACTTAGGTGCCCACTTCCTCATTTTTATGTGWTTTTCTCCCTGGAAGCTTCTAAAAACAATTGGGACCGAGCAGCTAAACTTTTTATACCTAGTGCTTGAGTCAGCATTGGAAGAGATTTATTTGTCCACTAGTAAGTGACCAGCTAGTTTGTCTAAGGAGGTTGCACTGTTAGATTCTAATTCAAAGAACATTCTGCCCTGAAATGATGCATTTTGTGAAAAAACAACCCCAACCACACCAAAAAAATTAAACAACACAGCTACAAGTCTCAAGGCTAAACTGACCAGCASAAAGTGGTTCAAGTTACCATCCACACACACCCTCCTTGCCTCTCAAATCTGTAACAACATACTTTTCTTCAAGAGAATCTAGAACCACAGCCACTTGGAGACAATAAAACCATGGGGCAGATACGGGAGACTTTAGAAACTGCTGGATTTACATAATGTGACCTAGTGGTGTGCTGTTTTTGAATGTTATTTTCATTCCAATYCAACAAAGTTACCTACACATACAAAATGTTAAAGTTGTGCCACTTGTCAAAAACAAGACATCTCCAATTATTGATCACACTTCAGCATACAGCTGGGACAGGGAATAATACATTACAGAAAGCAAARCCACAAGATTTTAGTTACATAAAACAATATAATTTGTATATAAACTGATAAATACTGTCTCCATGGTTCACTAAGTCCAAATACTAGTTATCTGCACATTAGTTGCTAATATCTATTACTAGAAGTAGTTCCAGCTTGTGCTCTCTCAGGGTGGTCAATTCATCTCCGAGACTAGTCAGCCTGTTTGATCTGAGAGAAAAAATCTCAGCAGTGAGACTGGGTTCCATGGGAAGATTTCATTGTGCTGTCTTCCAGATAAGGAGTCCTATGATTACACAGGCCACAACAAGGCCAAGAATCAGGATACAGATCTTCTTACGGGATTTCTTCTAATAAGGGAAGAAAAAAAAGCCACTGATGCCAGGAACACTTGAGAGGAAAAAGCAAAGCTACCATTCATATTACTAACTTCGGTGATTCCCACAGTTATTTGAGAGAATAACCAGTGTAGTCTGAACGCTTTTATACGTTCCTTAAACTCCATGATTCTGTAAATGTTTTTAATTTTAGGAGTGCAGTGGTATTAGGGATGCAGTTAAGTCAAAATGTGAAAGGTTTTGCATCTCTTAAGGAAAATACCAGTCTCTGAGAAAGTCAAACCTTTCTAGCTATTTAGATTTTTCAGGTAATCCTAATCAAACTCCTAAGCAGTTCTCCAATACAATCTCYCTTGGCAACTTGGGCTTGGTGTTGCATTTCTACAGTTTAAATGATTTAATATACAGTTACTGTACTTGGATTTTACAGCTTTGCTCACTTTATTCATCACAGGAAACTACAGTSCATCCATATACACCAAATATTTTAAACTTGGCATCTAAGGATTTGAGGGTAGTTATATATAATCACTTCCTTTTCCATCCAGAAAAAGAAAACACATGCAAAACATGTCCAATAATTCCTAAACTTAGATTTATAAATACCTCATAACTTTGGCAAGGAAGCCAYGGAGAGAATACTACTAAACGCTGCCAGATGGTAAAAGGAACTTTTTATTGCCTTCCAGTACCTCCCACTTAACAGCTTGGAAGAGAMCAGTATTAATCTTGCGTGGAAGCCTGAAATCCCAGCAGTGGTGGGACCATAAAAAWGGACCACTAAAGCAGAACCATTACCCCTTCACAGAATCTGGGCCTACAGGGACAAGAATGATGAAAGGAACCTACAGAAAACACTGGCTATCATACAGCACTGAGAGCCACTGTAAAAGATTTGATGAGTAAGGGAGCACAGASTATGGGACAGAAACTCAGCAGCTGGAGTGTTGTAAATCCTCCTGGTCACCAGAAGTTACCTGAGTCTGGGCATAGATTTTTGCATGTCATTGTCTTGGCTGATATGTCTGCAGGTTGGGTACAACATCAGAATTTCATTGTGCTTGTTTTGCTAACTCCTAACAACAACAACGACAGGTAAACACTTAGGCTTGCAGAGTGTAAAGGGCCAGACTCTATCTTCTCTGAAGTAGAAGRTGAATTTCAATACCATGTTTTTGCCTCAAGTGCTTTATATATTCCTTGCAGCCAATTTTGAATRAATGCCAGCTTGCATAAGCTGCTTTTAGTAATGAGTCTGGTGTGCTACAGTCCTTGGWGTCTTACTCTGCCTGTTCCATTATTATTCAGCTATACACTGACAATAAAGCAAGCACACAGAATTTACCTGATAATAGGCAGCTCTCTGTAACTGCTCACTGGCTCTTTCCACATGGACTTCTGCACTTTCCACATTTGCCTCTATGCTATCTATGGAAAAAACAGGAGAGCTTATTGCAAAATAGTTCAGAGCTTCAGTGTTTAAAAATTACAACCAGAAATACAGTATTTTTAATGCAAAATACTGAAAAATTTTAATCCATGTAGGCAAAACATGTAACTGAACTAAGAAAAAACTTATTATCCAAATGCACTTACCAATCATATCTCCTTGGTCATGAATCATCATGGCTAAATCCTTAAATATCTGATTGACATCCAAAATGTCTGCCTGAAGACAACAGTTTAACAAGTTACAACAAACACTGGGTACAATTTTTCTAATCCTCACTT